TGGAGTTTTTCTAGTGCCCTTGAGAAGATCGGAATGTCGTTCGCGAACCTCAGATGGCTTTAGTAGCGCCCAATTATATTCAGTTTTTCCCAGAAATGCCTCGAAAATCTCGAATAGAGTTGCCTTGAGAAAATTCGATAATATCGTTCTCCTGGTGGGACGCTCTTTTTGATTGTAATCTTGGATTTGCATTAGTGAAGCTTCACGCTAGAAGCTGCATTCTCGTCGTAAATCATGGTAATCAGGTTTACGTATCTTTCATCGATTTCCTGGTTCCTGAAGGAAGTCAGTACAGAACGAATGTACGCCGTTCCGAAAGTCTTGTCGACATCGTCGAAACCCAAGAAGAGTGGAAGCTTGGCTGAATTATTAGTCATCGTCTTGAGATGAAGCATCGTACTGAATCCACTTCTGAATTCTACCGGCCCTTATGGCTCTGTAGCGTGCACTTTGTCTTTAAGTCTACTTGGCAGTACTTTCGCGAACAAGCTATCAGCCTATAGTTACTCAAATCCTCTTTGTGTCCCATGCAGTGCAATGCAATCACCGACGAGACAGTTCAGTTGCATGAAATTTTCAGTTCCTTAAAACAACACGAAGATAAGCGCATCAATGTCCTGGTTAAAGGTTCACCTCCATATTTCATAAATTCCACTGTAATGAAGTCTTCGCCAGGAACCTTTCCTCGCTTTGTTTGTTTTACCGTAGACCGCACTTCTGGCAAGATGTCTACAGTTTTGCCAGCAACATCTGTATTTTTACCTTATCACTCAAGGTGTTGCCGTTTCACTGTTGTACAGTTTTCTGTAGAAATCTACTGTTTTTGGAATCGTTTGACTGTCCCTGATGACAGCCATTCTTCTGCTTTGAGAACTAAAGCTCATAGTTTCCAAACCGTCAAACTTTATCTTAGTTTCTTCAAGCCATAGTAACTTTTAGGTAGTTTCGCTTATCAATTTGCAGTTGAATGCTGGAACGTTTTGTTTTTTCTTACAATTCTGCATGTTTGACGCATTTAATTTCTGTTTACCAATCAGCCATGCATTTGAATTTTATCTTAGAAATATTCTTGATTTTTATTTTATCGGTTGACCTTCACAATCGTTGTTGCGGAGAGGCTTTCCGGCGTTTCTGTACCTGCTTTTGCTACATGCTGCTACATTACGTTAATTTCCACTGTTTGTACTGTTTTCTTTCTGCTTGCACTAGGTCGAATATCCTGCTTGATTTGAACTGGAATAGCGTGAGATTCTTCTTCTGTTTCCACGTCAAGTACCTGTCATCTCGTCCTCAGCAATTTCCTTCTTTGCAGAGCTGAGTCTAGACGCGCAACTCATTTGATCGCATCCCGCGACGTCCTGCGCTGCGTTCGTCATGTCGAATATATACTAGATGATAAAGGCTAAACGATAATTTACCAAATACATCCGTTGGACAGAGAGATTCATGTAGCCACGTGGCTATTCGTAGCCATCATGAGACTATGTCTTGCGCAGAAAACGTTAACGATCGACAAGAATTATTTCACAGGATTTAGCAGAACCGTTTAGGACACAGGTGAGGGTTGGGTTTATGAAACTTCCATATCAAAGCTTGCAGATCTAACAAGAAGATGCTATAAAGTCATGTATACTGCAAGTAACTAACGTTTATTCACTACAAATACAGAAATGAACGTAATGATTTTATGCCACTGCCAAAGTAGTGGTATGAAATCGCTTAAAAGAAAACCTACAGGTTAGGATACGATAACCTGCTTATACGGAGTACTGGAATATTTAGGATATGCAATATATGGGACGTTAACACATTTCGGCGAAGGAAACCGTCTCCGTCATCTTCCATAGCCCTTCTCGTTCCGAGTCGCGGTAGCAGACGCATCAGACAGCGCTTCCAGTGTTCCCGATCCTGTGCCAGAGTCGAGCTTGGGCAGAAGACAACTGGAGTCTCCAAGGAGCAGACTCTTTCCACATATTTACAGCAGTTTAACCTTGGCCGTTCCCTGGGCCTTCTGCCGGTTTGGCAAAAAATAGTTGCTTAGCCTTCCTATCTGGAGGCATTCGCAACACGTCCAAACCATCGCAGCTATGACTTATCAATTTGGAGAAATAGAGATTGTACACCCAGGCTCTCCCGGATGTCTGTATTCCGGATCATGTCAGGAAACCACATTTCTGATATTTATACAATAGAACATAAGGGCATAGAATAATGAAAAAGAATGTTTCCACGACTAAAATGATGCGAGATGCACCAACGCATTGAAGGTGTCTTAAAACAACTCGTAAACATGGGTTACCAAAAATTTCCCCTCTCATGCAAGTGAAAGTCAGTTTTGGTGAAGTAACGCTTACTGAAACAATCTTGAGAGTAGAGAAGACACATGGAACATACGAAATTGTGATAATGAAATTGCGTACCATCAAATCGCCACTGCAAACGGCAATGAAAGAGCGATCGCAGGTGACTTCGATTTTCCAGGTGCATAGCTCAGAAGGCACGTCGATGCACGGGAACCACGCCCGGGCCTCGTACTCAGCACGTTTCCACGAATAGACGTGAGAATTCGCCAATCCGTCGGATGACGACGACGTGGACGGCATGTCGGAAGGCAATACAGGGCAGACAAAATTGCAACCGACCGTCGGATTTTCAAGCCTGAAGTCTATACCGACCCGAATCACCTTCAACTCGTCGACAGTCTGCCAAATTTCAGGCGGTAAACTCACTAAAAAATTCGAGTAACTTTCATAAAACAGAATATTATTCCCCTTTTCACGGGGTGTAAAAAATGTTGTAAACATGTTTGGAACGATGATCATGTAAGTTCATGTTTGACTTCATGTCCATTCAAAACCGTTTAATCTGTGCTTCGGCTAAGTTTAAAATTTACCGCTTAAATTGTGCTTTGTGACAGAGGATCGTATACCAGGGATTGCCAGTAAGCCTAAAACACGAAACCTCCTTCATGGTATTGAAAGTAGCTAGATAATACAGCTGGATGAACAAGCGCTTAATTCATCCAAAACAAGAATTCGACCCTCTTGCACTTAGTTGCATAGGAAACCGCTCAAGCAGGGCGCTCACCAGGGCGTTACTGATTAAGATATTTTTGCAGCTGCACAATCAGATGGATATCATGCCGTTTTATTCTTTACAACAATTTCTCACTTATCACCAACAATGTTTATGACTACAAATATTCATTCTTTCATCCATTCTAAGCTGCAATTGGTTTAGGGTTGAAGACAACTTCTTCGGGCGGCCATTTCAGCGGTCGCAGTCATTGACTGAATGGCAGTGTCATGTGGTCTAGATATCTGAACCTCACACCACCACGCCTTCTATACAATGGAGCCATCTTGTCCGCGATCCTCTCGAGGACCGCTTTCCCGTGACTAGCCAAAACAGTGCGCCTAATAGATGTCGCTTGTGGAATCCTCATCAAATGTACAAATCATTGCGATTGTAATTCCGTAACCCTAAAAAGAGCTGTTCATCCACTGACGGTACCTAGATTTGGGTATTCTGAACCTGTTAGTCAACGGTCGCATGAACAATTCTTCATACGACTTATTTCTGTCACCTATAATCCAGACCTCACTGTTTCAGTCAATATACAAGGGGAGGGAGAGCAGTAACAAAGCAATGAATTTGGTTTCAGGTGCTAGGCGTTTGCCAACACACTGCGAAGTACGAAACAGCATTTCCGTCTGAGTGCTAAGAGCTCCAAAAATAACACATAACAAATAAAAGAACGAAAATAAGACATAATTAGATATATGAAGAAAAGTTGGAAGTCTGTCGGAATGAAGTGTGCAAGTGCTTAATGAAGAATTCGCCGTTCTTACCGAGCAGCTCGCCTTTTCCTTGGTCCGCGTCCACGGCAGACGCTGCTTTGGAGAACAGGTCGCTGAGGCTGTTCACTGACCACGTGCACGGATGAATGTTCATCGCCCATGAAGACTCGTGCGTAAAGGCAGCGTCCAAGCTGTCCTGCACCGTCACTCGTCTGACGTCGATCTGATTCGAGCAATTGAACACCACAGAACGCAACTGCGGCACCATCGGCACGATCACCATATCGGTGAAGCCGAACAGCGTCTTCGTTGCGAAATTTATGTCAGTAATGCACAGCACCTGGTGCAGCAGCTTCACGTTGCGCGGCGTGTCAACCAGGGCTTGGAACTCGGGAGCCATGGTTCCCCGCCGCCAACGACTCAGGCTGAGGGCACAGCTAACTACAACTTGCAGTTCTTTTAGAAAGTTGGATGATCGAAACGTCACATGAGTGAGCGATGCCTACCCAAGCTGCGCAACGAATAACACATGATCGTCATCTGCAAGAAAGTCAAATGTCAGAAAGCCGGCAAAATCATCACAACGAAACAGTGAACCTACGACTACGAAGCTGTTTCACCAGTTTATCAATCCTCGTTTCCGAGAGTATTCCGTTGAAAGTTCGTAACTGATAAATTTGGCGGCCGCTCGACAATACAATCCAGAGGGAACCATCATTTTACCCATCTCATGAAAACACCATCCCTTATTGAGAAACTCTCGTTTAGTTGCAATTTCTTCCTTGAGCGACTACTATGATGATTCCGAAAGTTTTTCTTTTTTCGCTCTAGAAATATATAAAGTTCTGTTGCCTACTGACACACCACAAAGCCAAACGAAGGGTGCTGGACAAGAGACTGAGGAACAAGATCGATATCGCTGCCAACCAATTCGACTTTATACTTGGGCGGTCGACTACGGATGGCATCTTTGCTTTCAAATCAATCCTAGAAACATGCAGCATGGACATTTACAAGGCAAGGCAGCAAGAACACTGACATGGTGTTCCAACACATGGAGGAAGTTTCTGAACGAATACCGAGGAAGACAATTTGATGTAGCATCAAAAAGAAGATGGTGCTAGAAAACTATATAAGGGCTGATCAAATACATGAATGACAGAGTCACAGCAAAAGTGCGTGAGGCGAAACCGAACAATTCCCTGTCCAGGTAGGGGTCCATCAACGCTGAGATGATAACTAAAAACTGCAGGAAGCAACCCCGTGTCTGCAGCATGCTCTACGCAGATGATGCTGTGCTAAGCAGTGAAGGCAGGGAAGCGATACAAGCAGAAACCGAGGCATGGAAAGGTGTTTTTAAGAAAAATAGCCGCCGGCTCAGCAAACGCGTGGCAATATGTGGCAGGCCATTACGGCAGAGAGAACAGTGAAAACCAACGAATCAATGAAAGTAGCGGGGAGCATGCTAACGCAAACCAAACTATAGAAGTATATAGAATAATAGATAGCAACAATAGAAATTTTTATATCATAGTTCCATCCGTCAAAATGACTTGCAAATGGGCAGTGAATTAAAAAATCGGTCGATAAAAGTGAGGTCCAGTGGTAATCGGTGAGTGGTAAGATACGCATCAAACGAAAAAGGGCAGGGTGTACAGTTCGATAGTATGGCCGATGCTTCCACACGAGCGGAATGTTCAGCTATCCTGAGGAACAACAGCAGAACTCGGTAAAAATGCGAGTGTTCAGACGGATGTGTGATATCAGTAAAAACCAGCCACATTCGGAATACCTTCATAAAATAGGTTATAGGCGTTGTCGTAAAGAACGGCATGAAACTGCACGGGGTGACCAAACACTCAATCAAAGACCGAAAGATGCGGAGAAAGCTGACTCAAAAAACGGAACCCCGTTAAAGGGATCACGATAGGAAAAAGAAAAAATGTTAAGGGTCAAGGACAGTGATCGCCAATCGCATTAAATTGCTTTACAGACGAATTATCATCACCACCAGGCGTTGCAGATTCACTGCTGAATGAAG